CCACAGATTTTGGTATGATGACACTATTTTTATTAGTTTCAAGAAATATTTTATTTTCCATTTTAATTTGTACTATGACCTATGGGTCATTCAGGAGCACGTTGTTTAATTTCCATGTATTTGTATAGTTTCCCAAGGTTCACTTGTTATTGATTTCTAATATCAACCTGTTGAGGTATGAAAAGATAGTTGAAATGATTTCCATTATTTAAGATTCTTTTAGACTTGATTTGTGACTTAACATGTGCTCTACCCTGTGCAATGTTCCATGTACTGATGCGAAGGGTGTATGCTCTGCAGTTGTTGGATAAAATGTTCTGTAGATGTCTACCAAGTCCAACTGGTGTGAAGACCAGTTTAAATCCTATGTCTCTGTGTTGATTTGTTGCCCAGATGATCTATCCAGTGTTGATAGAGGGGTGTTGAGGTCCCCAGCTATTGTTGCATTGAGGTTTCTCAATCTCTGTTTACATCTACTAGGGTTTGCTTTATGTATCTGGGCGCTCCAATGTTGGGTCCACGTATATGATTATGACTGTTATATCCTCTTGCTGGATAAATCCCATATCATTACACAATGGCCTTCTTTTTCCGTTTCCATAGTTTTTGGTTTAAATCCTATTTTATCCTATATAAGATTAACTGCTCCTGCTCATTTTTGCTTTCCATTTATGCAGTATATATTTTTCCATCCCGGCATTATTAGTCTGTGTGAGTCATTACAGGTGAGGTGAGTTTCTTGTAGGTGGCATATAGATTGGTCTAGTTTTTCAATTCATTCAGCTAGTCTATATCTTTTGAGTGGAGAATTCAATCCATCTGTATTTAGGGTTGTTATTGAAAGGTATTGTCTTACTCCTGGCATTTTATTGATTTTTGTATGGTTGCTTTAAAAATCTTTTGTTCCTTTCTTTCCCTTTTATTGTTTGTCTTTGGGGTTCCTTGGTTCTTTGCACTGGTAGGATACAGTTTCTTTCTCCTTCTTATTTATTATCTGCTCTACTAGTGGGTTTTGTCCTTTCTAGTGTATTCATTTTGGTGATTACTGGTTTTTTGGATTCCAGATGCAGGACTCCCTTGAGGACTTCTTGTAGGGCTTGTGTGCTGATGAACTCCTGAAGTTTTCATTTGTGTGGGAAATACAGTATTTCTTATTCACTTCTGAAGGACAGCCTTATTCAGTATAGTATTCTTGCCTAGCAGTTTTTTTCCTCTAGTACTTTGCATATATTATTCCATTCTTTTCTGACATGAAGGGTTTGTTTTGAGAAGTCTGCTGTCAGCCTGATGTGGATGCCCTTATGTGATCTGATGCTTTCCTCTTGCTATTTTTATAATTTTTTCTTTTTTCTTTGGCTTTTGATAATGTGACAATAATGTGTTTCGGGGAGGTCCTTTGTGGACTAAATCTACTAGGGGATCTTTGAGCATCTTGGATCTATAAGACTGTATCTTTCCCAATATTTAGGAAGTTTTCAGGTATTATCTCATTACATAGGCTTCCGATTCCTTTCCTTTCACTTCTCCTTCCTGTATCCATATAATACAGATGTTTGTATGCTTAAGGTTATCGGAAATATTTCACAGCTTTCTTCTTCTTCTTCTTTTTTTTTTCTGACCGGTAAGGGGATCGCAACCCTTGGCTTGGTGTCGCCCGTACCACACTCAGCCAGTGAGCGCACCGGCCATCCCTATATAGGATCCGAACCCGCGGCGGGAGCGCCACCACGCTCCCAGCACTGCGCTCTCCCAAGTGAGTCATGGGATCAGCCCGCTTTCTTCATATTTTAAAAAATTATTATTATTATTATTTTTTTGGAGTGACCAAAGGAGTTCATTCAAAAAGATTGTCTTCTCGTTTGGAGATTCCTCTCCTTGGTGTAGCCTGCTGCTTATGCTCTCTTTTTTATTGTTTATTTCCTTGAATAATTTCTTCATGTATAAGATATCTGCTTGGTTTTTTATACTATTTCTCTTTGTTGAATATCTCATACATGTCCTTGAATTCTTTTTGACTTCATTCTGATTTCTACCTATTTTTTAACCATTATTCTGAGTTTCCTTACTTTTGCCCTTTGGGATTCCTCCTCAGGCAATTCATCAATTTCCTGTTGTTTCAGGTCTGGTAATGGGGAAATGCAGTCTACTTTGGGTGGAGTCAAGTTTCCCGGTTTCTTCATGATTAGCATATCTCCGCATTGTTGTCTGGGTATCTCGATTAGCATATCTCCGCATTGTTGTCTGGGTATCTCATGGTGTAGTCACTTCTTTTAATTCTAGGAGTGGCTTGTGAAGAGGGAGACTTTTTCCTGTAGTCATATTCTACATTTGCAGTCAGGTTGGGCATTTTGGGTTTGGATCTGAGTGAGTGCAATGGTGCAGTCTTCATGTGACCTCTTTAATATATGAATCTTAGAGTTGTCTGTGGTTGCCTTTGTGGCCTAGGTTGAGGGGTCCTCAGCAGTTTCTTTTGGCGTGGGTGATCACTGTTTTTCAGTGAGCAGATGTATACTGTTGCAGCAGGTCCTGGAAGCTCTATAGAAGGCCACTGGCTCACATGTTGGAACTAAACCAAACCTGTATGAATGCTGTAGGACCCAGTAGCATTCTAGAAGTGTGCTGTGGGGAGAGAAAGCTGTTAGTCAATCAACTGTTGGTTTGGGAGTAGGTGTACACAGGTGTTGCAGGGCCTGGCAGCTCTGAAGGTAGCCACCTGATCAGCTGTTGAAACTGAAGCCACCTTTTAAGGGTGAAGCTGAGGCCAGCAGCTCTATGAAGGCCTGTCTTGGGGTGTCAGACCGCAGGCTTGATTTAGGCTTAACCACTGAGCAAGTGGCCCAGTACAGGGCTTCCAGGACCCATTGTCTCAGTGTATATCTGCTTCCACAACAGGAGTTGATAAGGTAGGGGCTCTGACACCTTGTTCACTGTGGGTATTAAGCAGATATAGACTGAGGCATCTGGTCCTGGGAGCTCTGTACTGGGCCACTTGCTCTGAGGTTAAGCCTAGATCAAGCCTGTGTCAAATACACAGGGCCCAGCAGCTCTCTGCTCTCTGAAGTCATGCTGTAAGAAGGAAAATCTCCTATCCAATCAGCTGTTGAGCCTGGTGCAAGCCCACATTATTTCAACTGAGCCAAGCAGCACTATGGAGGGCTGCCTTGGGAAAGCCACCAGTGTCCAAGTGAACATGGTTGAGTGCAGAAAGGCCTCCACACAGAGGGAGGCAGCCTTAGTGGGTCTGGCACAGGGATCTATGCTCCAGGTAGTTGGGATTGTGAACCTGCTGGGGCCCATGCAAGTATGTGGAGGGTTTGTGGGAGAATCAGGGCTACCACCAGGCTAGCTGTAGGCCATGCAAGTACTTGTGGGTTCAGTCCTCACAGGCAATGTAAGGAAGACGGTGAATGTGGGTAATTGTTGCACTTTAGTGGATTTTCTGCTCAACAAATCTACCTTCTCTGCTGGGGAGGAGGGGTGCTGAGTGAGTTCAGATGCTGGAGTCTTGGCCTTTCTGTCTGTCCAGAGCTCCAGACAGCCTGTGTCTTGGTCCCACAAGTGCCCATGTCAGTACAGTCGACTGAATGCAGGGCCACTAGAAAAGGGTAATCAGATCCACTGGCTCCAAGGCAGGGCACATTCCCACCAGGGCTTCAGCTACCAGACAGTCCTATGTCTCAGTTGCTCCAGGTTGTAGGGGTTTTGATCTCCTTGGGCTTCTAATACACTAACTTCCAGCTACTGTCCAATGTGGCCTCGTTCCTAAAAAGTATGGAGGGACTCCCTTGAGGCAGGGATTGCTGGTGTTTGTGGTGGTGGTGGAAACAGATGGGTTCTTTTCCAGCCCACATTATCTCCACCTGGTTCTGGGCTGCCCCTTGGATTGGGGCTCAGGCTGGATGCCCTGCTCTGCTCTCTACAGTGACATTCCCTTCCAACTTCACAAGGACCTCCTCAGTCTCCTCGTGCTCCACAACATGATCCTCAGGATCTAGTCAAAATTGATTGTGTGTTGTTTTGGTCTGTTTTTATTGGGAGGGGACTAGGAACAAACCTCTCTAGTCATCCACTCTGGGAACTGTCTGTAACTTTCTTTTCTTTCTTTCCTTTTTTTTTTTTTTTCTTTCAGGGAAAACATGCATATTTAGAATGAACCAGCTGGACAAAGTTTAGATTATCTCAATTTTCTTACCAACATCCAAGCCTTCGTGGTCAGGAGCCAGTCAATATACCTTCTTCTCTCCATCAGGCCTGATCACGGTGCTGACAGTGGCCACATCAGTGTCACAGAGCTGCCTCACAGAAGACCTGCTCCAGATCTGCTGCTTGCTGACCCCAACCGTCATCACGTGCTCAAGTATGTTGTTGTCTGACTTCTTCATGGCTGACTTGTTGTCAGGGGAACGTGATGATGGCATTACGGTCAAGCTTGTTTATCCTTTGGTTGCTGTTACAAGGAAATGTGGGCTGTGTCAGGGCTGCAGGGTCTTAGGCCTCTGGAAGTTAGGTGATGTTTGGCTCTTCTTTTATCTATATTTGTGGATGGTTTCCAACACTGCCTTCTTCACCTGCAAAGCGTTTGCTATGGCTTTGGTTTTGGATTTGGCATGGGCAGGAGCCTCCCTCTTTGCTTTCAATACCATCTTTATTAAAATGGTCATTTAATGTCCCTCTACAATGGAAAATTCTGATACTTGTTCTGATAAAAGTCAGCCTGGAAATTATGTTTTCATTTTTAATCAGCAAGAAAGGACATATTGTTGGGTAACATGATGAAATAAAGTCACCAAATTTATCCAGGTCCAAATTTTTCTCACTTGCAAAACTTAAATAAGGAGTAAGAAAGGTGTTGATCAAATAGAAGAAAACAAAGCAGCTAACCAGGATGAGAATGGTGTGGGTAGCTCTGTGTTCAGGAAAGTATCGTGAAGACTGAATTTTACTGCGAACATGCTGGACTGTTTTGTGGTGTTTGTAAAGGATATTCACCATGTAGACACTACTGAATGTCATTAGTGAGAGAAAGAGCAAATCTTGAAGTAATACCACACTTAGAAATGGTGCTGCTCGATAGTTCTCAAATGCAATACTTTTACAATACGGACTGTAATACCCATGTCTGACATCAGAGGAGTTGATAGTAGCCACAGTTCTTAAGATGATCTCAACATAGATGATCATGTTGATGATCCAGAAGAAAAGCAGAGAGGGAAGAATGTATACAGATACTTTACTTTTGAGCCAGGCCCTCTTATAATTACTTGGAGTAATAGTCACTGCCTGAAACATACTCTGGAGGGAAGTTGCATTCACAGAAATACTTCGGGTAACTCTCTGAATGTAGAGCACTGTTTTACACCCAATGTCATCTATCCCATGCTTAATTCCAAAGGATGACATAATATTTGGAAACCCTCTCAGTACGAGTGTCACAGCATTAGCCAGAGTTAAGTGGGCAAGAATCACATGTATGGGTTTCTTCTTGTGGGGATGAATTAAGAAAGTGTACATACATGATATAAAAAACAATGAATTCCCCATGAAACCAATACACATTTGAGATATAAAAAGGATTTGAAAAATTATGTCACTGGAAACCATTGTCTTTCATTCTCTCTCACATCTTCAAACCAATGCCAGCACTACCTGCAGAGAAATAATTGGAGTATGAATGTAAAGATTAACAATAATTGCGATTAATTTCTTTTTCTAAATTTTATTTTATTTTGTCGATATACAATGTGGTTGATTATTGTGGCCCATTACCAAAACCTCCCTCCCGCCTCCCTCTCCTCTGTCCCTCCCAACAATTTTCTTTCTGTTCACTTGTCGTATCAATTTCAAAGAATTCTTCCCTCACCCTCGGGTGTGTGTGTATTTATTTATTTATTTATTTTTAGCTCCCACAAATAAGTGAGAACATGTGATATTTCTCTTTCT